TGACGTAGGTCTGCGCGTGTTTCAATACCAAGTACGCAAATTTCGGACTTGCATCCTCGGTAGTTCGGACTTCGCGAGTTCGACTCAGGAGTGTGAACTCCCGCGGACGGGACGAAGCAAGTCTGGTAATTCTGCAAACAGCAGCGTACTTGATAATATCAGTCAGCTTGACTTGGCTACTGCAATTTTCCTCACTGTATTTACAATAAGACGAAATATATCAAACACCACTGCCCCTTTTCGTTTTCATTTAAACATATTAATAGCCGCAGAAATGTTCAGGGAACGTACATAGCCTACATTACAATGAAACGAAATGTTATATCAAACATTGCCTGTTTCATTTTAATTTTAACATATTAATAGATTAATAGAATAAAGACCAAAGATTACCTGTTAAGATTTACCCAAAACGAATTATATCTTATGTTTATCCACTACAGAGACATCAGAGCCAGCGGCAAATGTCAGAAGGACTAGCCGAGTTGAGGCTGCTCTCGTCGGATACATGAGCACTGAGCGCCCGCTGATCGCGTGGAGCTCCCGTCTCCGAAATCGGCGAACACATTTTCAAATAGGTGCTGTTTTTATAAATAAACCACAGATTTGAGTTTTAAACAACTACATTCTCGCCTGAAATACTTTTAAAACTACATTTCATGACACAATAACAGTACTATTTAAAAAAAAATTATGCAAATGGTAGTTGAAATACAATGCTGCGTGAACTCAACCAATCAGCATGTTCAGCGCTCAAGTCCTGCCCCGAAAGTTCCGGACCTTTGAAAAAGTACTACATTGCGAGCAGGGACTTTCTGAGAACTTTATTTAGATCCTGGTTCCTGCGGTGAAAACACACAGAGTACCGGCCCAAAGTCCCTAGTTCCTGGGGAAAGTTCCTGCGGTGGAAAAGGGGCTATTGAAAGGCTATAGCATACAACCTGACCAATATCCAAATCTGGCAAGCAGGGTATACTATACATCATTCCACTTCGCCCAACGTGTTAGACTTCCGTAGTGTCATCATTCTCTCCCAGCCATCACTTATAATTCTAAAGAGGCTTAGGAAAGCCTTGATCCCTGTGACCTGCATTCACAGAAATTCTTTGACTTTGGTCAAAAATAGCAGATACCAAATTAACTTTTTATATAGCTAAGGTTGCATCAAGTTCTTCCAGTGCCACTTCTGTTGGGATGAGACTGGCCTGGGGTAAAAGCTGCTGTTGGTGGTACCACAAACAAAGATGCAGGCAATTATCATGCTGACGCATTCTCATTCCATGTTGGGCCTCCTTGGGAGCAAATAACACCATGCAGTGGGTTCCTGACAGGTTCCACTGGACAGGACTGGAAGGCAGAATCAAGAAGTTCTTCCACCAGTGTGAGACATTTAGCTATGGGATGGCCAGTGCCATCCCTAATTGAAGCTTGCCCATCCCTGTTGCGAAAAGCAGTCTGACTATGCTAACAAATGACTTTTCTCCACTCAAAGAACTATGATGCTAAGCACCTTTGCAAACATAAATCACAGCACCTCTGTCAACAGTGGTTCAGTTATAGTAGATGGACATAATAAGTCTTTAATATTACTAATATTCTATGATAATTCTTTGACTTTGGTCAAAAATAGCAGATACCAAATTAACTTTTGAAATTCATATTTTGTTCTTCATAGCTGTAAGATGCCAAAATGTTGCTATGGTTACCACTATGACAATCAACACAATGGACCCTATTCATAAGACTGTGATGACGCATTTCAACGGTCATCAGCATCGTAAATGGTCATCAGCATCGGAAATCCATCGCAACTCTGGGTTTTTTGTATTAAAATTTTTTTTTTTTTTAAATGTATGTACATTTATAACGCTGTATTTTGTAATATACTACCTTTGCATCAAATTACAAAAAACTAGTTAACGATAATGCGAGGGTGTTTCTAAAACAGCATCTATGGGAGTGACGGTAAATTTTACATCGTTCTCTCTACTGACTATCACTCTCTCTATAGTTTTTCCTTTTTTTGGAAAGTCATAAAAACACTATCGTGGAGTTTTGCTTTTGCTATATGAGCAAATGAGAATGCAAAAAATATATATTTCTGGTAGTCTCCCATTCACTGCTATAGAAGTTTACTCTACTTTGACGACTACTGCTGCTGAGAAACCCAGAAATGTGAGAAAGGCCCATCTCTGAAGTTACTCTGGTTGTATACACAAACGGAACAATCATACACTCTCACATGTAAATGCAGTTGTCACTCCTGAAATGTGCACATGGCCTTAAGATATTCTGTGTTATTAGGTTATGAATAGATGCAAACTGCCTATACTGCACAAATCTCTGTGTACTTGTCACAAATCCGGTCGGTGGTCTTCCGTCTGCTCGCCACCAGAGGTCGCCTTCTGATTACATTGACTCTCATACCACACAAACTGTTGCACGTCACCCTGGACTACATTTCCCATGCTCCCACTGATTGGACTCACCAGCAGCCAATCACACACACACACACACACACACACACACACACACTATATAACAACCACTCAATCTTTCTCTAATCGCCGAGTATTGTTTAGTGCTTATCGCTTTCCCAGTGATAGCTACATTACGGAGCCTTCTGCCCTAGTTTCTAGGTCATAGTTTCTAGTCTAGTCTAGTTTTGTCTTGCGATTACCTGTTACCTGATTATCTGCCTGTCTTGGAATTCTATTGTCTTGTCGTTTGGACTATGTTTGCACCTTGCCTGGATTATTGCATGTTTTGGATTACCCATTTGCCTCGCCCTCTGGTTTACGCTTGCCGATCGAAGACCCATGCTTGCCCTAGGAATAGTCTTGTCTTGCCTGTGTTGTACCAGTGTTGTTGTCTGACCCTTGCCTGTTTCATGACCACGCCTCTAAATAAAAGCCTTGCATATGGATCCGCAAGCTTCACGTCTCGTTTGCCCCGTTACAGTAATCTAGGAGAGGTAAAATTTGATTTCTGTTAACTGTCAAGTGCAACGCAAGAGGCTATGTTAATCAGGTAAATAAAAATAGTGTTATTTACCAGGATTTCACTAACTCTTTGTGACAGTTTATGAGGTGTTTATGTTTAATCATGACAAACAAATGTTAGCTTACCATTAAACACAAAGGCACATTTGAGCATTAGGCAGTTTCAGGAAAGTGACATAAAGAAACTTCAGTGGGAAAGAACTGGTTTAACCTATATTTATTGAGGTGCAATTACACTGAATTGATTTTGTACACAAGCGAAACACCAGTAAATGTGTATAGCCTAAGGCTGGAATACACTACATGACTCTTGAAATCTGAACAGATTTCAAAACTGGTCATCATACACTAAATGACTGAGCATCATAAGCTACCAGACTTTAAAGTAGTTCAGAACACAATAAATTCATATATATATATATATATATCTTCAAGGAGGTTCAAGGTCATCTTGTTGGAGATCCCCTGGCAGACCCATGTTGTCGTTCATGACATCAGATGGGCAGCATTTTAATTCAATGTAAAATATGTATTTAAATTACTTTTTAATATAATTTGTATTAGAAAATATTCTTAACATAGTGTGAATAAAAGCCTAAATTAAATCTCTTCAGATAAACCAATCATGACTCTTAAGAATACCCGAGTTGGTAACACTTTATAATAACTTTCATTAATAAATCATTAACAAACATTATGTAATGCTTAATGGATCATTAGTTAATATATATTAAAAGAGTTAGAAACGTGAGATAATGTGCTTGTTAATGTTTGGTAATAAACTTATTAAAATGTTCAAACAAATCATTATTTCATGTAAGTTAAAATGCTTACAAAAAACAAGAATTTTCTTTTAAAAACATGATTTGTTTTCTCCTGTTAATTTATGATTCAAGGAATATCCTGTTTAATGATCTACTGAAGAGTAGTATACTAATGTGAGTGTTGAGGCAATAAAAATAATTAAACTTTCAATTCCATATGAACAAGCACTTCTTGAAAATCTACAAATGATTTGAACAGATGTTATAACTGTCACGAATCCTGTCCATGGACTTCCGTTCAATCATCACCAGAGGTCACCCTTCCATTACAGTGACTCTCGCACAACACAAACTGTTGCATGTCATCCCGGACTACATATCCCATCAGCCATTGCACTGATTGCACACAGCACTTATTGCACACAGCACTGATTGCACACAGCTGTCATCAATCACACATTCACTATAATACACTCACTCAAACAACCATTCTCTGCCGAGTATTGTATGCGCTTATCGCCAACAGTGATAACTACTCTACAGAGCCCTCTTTAGCTTCCTAGCCTAGCCTAGCCTAGTTTAGCAAGCATTTAGCTAAAAGTCCAATGCCCATAAAGATACTAATAGATTAGTAAACATTTATAATCATTTACAAATTATGAATAATTTCGACTTTAGATTGGCTACTGCAAAAACATGAACAAATGATTCATAAATGATTAGTAAAGATGTGTGAATAGGGTAAATTCTGGTCTTTCGGGACACTGTTTGCCATTGAGATGACTGCTCATAAAGGTATTAATGATTAGTAAACGTTTATAAACATTTGCAAATGATGAATAGTTTCCACTTTAGATTGGGTACTGCAAAAACATGAACAAATAATTAATAGATTATTTGTTAAGATGTGTAAATAGAGGTCTACACAACAAACATAGACCAACAAATGAAGATCATATAAACTAATCATTAGGTAATGTTTAGTAAGTTCATTAGTAAACATTAACAAGAATATTATCTCATATTTCTAGCTATGTGAATATATATTAATTAAACATCTGTTAAGCATTATATGATGTTTGTTAATGATTTATAAATGAAAGTTATTATAAAGTTATTACCAAATTAGTTTTTTTGTTTGTTTTTATGGGTTTGGAACAACATGAGGGTAATGAGTAAATTATAACAGAATTTTTATTTTCGGGTAAACTTTAATCCCTTTAAAGTGACAGAAATTTTTTCATTGTCAGTAAAGAGAAAATTACTCACTGCTGTTGACTGAATACTGAATAACTTTTTTAGCTTTAATAAGAATTGTAAATAAAATAAAATTATAATTCATACAGTGAAGACTGTGTTTTGGAGAAATTTGTTGTGATAAACACAACTGCACTGCAACTGTGTTGAAAGGATTGTAGTGTGTACATGAAGGAGAATATGTTGTTTAAGGAGGGGAAAGCAGTTCTTTTTCTCTTATACTAAGTATTTTGGGCTACTGTAATGACAATGTTCATTTTCTCTTCACATCTTCAAATGTTTTTTTTGTAAAAATCTAGCAAAATAATTTACTATGTTACACTTATAGCTCCAGAAAAAGGCATCTGCTAAATACCTAAAATTGTTAGAGAATTTTTTTATGTATTTTTGTATTTTCAAATGATAAATTACTTGTTTTTTTTAATAGGGCTGTCAATAGATTAAAATTTTTAAACAGATGAATCACACCCTTTTTGTGTGATTAATCATAATTAATCGCACACTTATCATGAAATTAAGCCTATACCATTTATCTTGTTTAACATGTTCATTTTGTCATCATTTGCAAATCCAGCAAAGTAAACCAAAAGACTGAAGAGTGATTCTCACAAAACTGTATTTTCTGCAAGCTTATTTCAAGATAAAGTTAGTTGTCTTTTCAAAAAAGGACACTTGGAGACCCCAAAAGGACACCAAGGAACCAAATGATATAAGGAGTCCATAATGATACATTTATGCACACCAAAGCACACATTAAAAATAAATAAACTGAAAAAACTTTTCAGAACTCATGTATAGCAGGGGTTCTCAACTTTTTTTGAAAAGCAGAGTTTAGCTTCAACCTTGATCAAACTCACCAGCCAGTAACTTTCTAGTACTCCTGAAGATCTTGCTTAGCTTGTTCAGCTGTGTTTAATTAGGGCTGGAGCTAAACTCTGCAGGAAAGTGGACCTCGAGGGCCTACAGTAGACAAGTCAAGTTGCGATACCGAACAGGACCACATGGAGATGCCATCTCCCCCTAAACCAACCGCCTTGAGCTGATTGCTTATACATACAGTACACGAATCCATTCAGAATGACTAAACACAGCAACATACACATGACAAATCAAAACATTATCCTGAATGTGTGTGGAAACAAGGTGAATGTACTGAAATGTCTCTGTGAATAAATACAATTTATGATCTGTGCATCAGTGTGCTCATACAGTTTGTTTGTGCATCAATACTTCAGATTCTAAGATATTATTTGACTCTTTCATTTTAAGTTAAATAAAAAAATGCAATTACAGTTCTCAACCGCTAGTCCTACTGAGATATGACAACTGGCAACGCGAGACTTGAAAGTTAGAAGAGATCAGATCCAGATTTTGAAATTAACATTTCCGCCACTTTTTAATTTTTTACACGAGATGGTAAACAGGTAAACAGCAAAAGTTAAAGGACATTTATATTTTTGTCTTGTAAGTATCTGTGTTTTCGTTTTGAGACGTGTTCATTATTTATCTACATTATTTGTTATCGTGTGTAGGAACTGTGACATTTTAGTGGGTAACAGTGTAGAGTAAACCACGTTTGCTTTTGGTTCAAAAATATTTTTTGTGATGCTGGTTGAAAGTCTCTTCACATCCCGATGGCAATCACTAAGTTAAATGGTCTAAATGAATTTATATGTATTTGTATCGTCTGTGGAAGGCGCAGGACCATAAAATGTTTGTCCAATCATATTCCTCAGTAAGATGATTACGATAAGTTCCCCTACCTGCCTGTCAACATATGTATTTGCATACCTCTGTGCACCCTTTTCACACAGACATGTTAATTGTAATATTATGCGCTTTATACTGTGATATTTTCTCACCGGTGAATGAGACATGAGGTAATCTTTAAAAAATTCCATCATGTTGAAATTCAATACGAAGGGTGGTCCGCTGCAGAAGGAGGCATTTGAAAAGACTGCAGTGCAGACTGCAGACTACAGTTTAATGTGACATCAGGCTATATTGATATAAATGATATAGTATCAATCTATATTGCTTTGGGGGAAAAAATATGTAATTGAGGATAGCAAAATAAATGAAGCTGTGACATATTATATCCAAAAATTCTTCATACAAGTGGACTACCAGTAAAATTGATAAAAAATTTGGGACCAAAAATTACTCCAACACTTTGACCTGACCATGCTTTAAGTGTTATCTGAAATTATCAAGATGAATTTGTTCTGACTCAGTTTAACTCTAATCTTAAAAATCTTTAAAAACTCTATATTGCCAAGCCGTAGTGTGCATCCAGGCAAAAGAGAATGACTCCTTGTCACAATTAGTGTAAGTAAAGTAAAACATTATGATGTCAAAAATGCTTTTCTCATGCCAATTTTTTTTCTTATTTGGCAGGTGCAGTGATTACCAACTTCCCGGCAGCGACAGAGTTGGACTTAAGGAATGCAATTGGGAAGCATTTTAAACAAGAAATAAAACCAACAATTAATAATTTCCTTAAAGTTCACTGTTCACTGTTTGTTTGTTAAATAAGTAAACTATCAAAAGGGTTATCCTTTTTTATTTTACTTTGTCATTTATCCATAATGTTTTAATGTTAAGTGTGATAACATGATCTTGATTTGTATTAAATTTATTTTGAAATATCTTACATTTTTAAAAAAAAATATTTTATTCTGTCATTCTTTGTTTTTATTATCTTAGGTTTTTATCATCTTGTATTATCTTAAGTTGTCCAAGTTGTTAAAAACATTCTATTTCTTAATAAAAGCTTTATATTTAATTTGTTTGGATGGATTGTCATTTATGAGAACCTCTTAAATTGGAGTAAAAAAAATCCTTTAGCCATTATTTTGTTGTCTATTACGTGTGTATATATATATATATATATATATATATATGTAGTCATTCATTAGCTGTCTATTAGATGACTAGTCTATTCTTGGGCTATGGTTAGACGTCTATTAAATTTTCACTGACAGCCCAAGTTCAGCCTTGTTTTAGTCTAGACCCATATTCACTGTCTATTAGACGTATATATGTAGTCGTTAAAAAGCGGTCTAATTGATGACTAGTCTGTTCCTGGGCTATGGTTAGATGTCTATTAAATTTTCACTGACAGCCCAAAATTTGCTTTGTTTTAGCCTAGACGTCAGGGCTGTGTTTGGGTGGCTATTAGACATCTTTTAAACACAAAATTGCTTGCTGGGAATTTTGACAGCCCTAATTTTAAACAAATTTCTTACACCAGTATTTTGTAGGCTATTTGAAATTTTTTGTATACTTTTTGATTGTTTTTGTTCCCATCTCTGTGAACCCCTAGGAGTAATTATCAGGCAGCAGCTGTTTTGAGAAAGACAGATTGACAGTCCTTTCTCAATCCTGTCCCTATCGCTTCCTGTCTCTCCTCACGCTGTCCTGTCAAGTTAAAGGCAAAAGTATAAAAAAGGGACATAAAAATATCAGTAATTGAAAAAGCTTGAATAGAATATCAGTCTATTGACTTAAAGACATTTTCTTGGGTGTGTTGTTTAAAGGGGTCATATGATGCGATTTCAAGTTTTCCTTTCTCTTTGGAGTGTTACAAGCTGATTGTGCATAGATTAGATCCCTGAAGTTGCAAAGACTAAAGTCTCAAAACCAAAGAGATATTCTTTATCAAAGTTAAGACTCTGCCACGCCTCCCTAAAACGGCTCGTTCTAACACGCCCCCACATATCTACCTCACTATGTGGAAATATTTGCATAATGCGCCCAAATGTGCACGCAAAGAAAGAAGGCGTGGTTTCAGTAACCGCAGTTAGTGTTGAAGCAGCATGTCAGGGAGACGCTGTGTGTTTCTAGGCTAAAGCAAAAGCACTTTATTTGGCCTTCCGGAAGTAGATGCATTTAGGAATCTTTAAGATTACTTACAACAGAACAGCAATGCATTTTATGGACGACCGTTTCGTGAACCTAGGAGAGGAGGTAATTCTGACTTTGCTATGACAATCTGGCGCTTCTGAATCAGCGACTGTTTTGTTATTAGTTTAAGTATTTGCTATTGACTGTTCAAATGCGGAGTTTTGCGCATCGTGTGTGTGTGTGTGTGCGCGTGTGTGTGTGTGAGAGAGAGAAAGAGAGAGAGAGAGCGAGAGTGTGTGTGTGTGAGAGAGAGAGAGAGAGAGAGACAGGGTCACATCACAGTGGAGGCAGTTGTCTTAACCGTGGCTTGTGTACTGCAAACACATACCAGCTTCATCACTGTGTCTGTCACGCGACTCTGTTCCCCTTTCGGGCTTGAACTGATGGTAAAACTAATGACATTATTTACTGTCTTTACATTTATTTTGAAAGATGAAGCTCGCGATTATGGTAAGGGGCGTTACATTTCCGACGAGTGCTTGCGGTGTTCGGCCAGTCACAATGCACTGGGTCAGCTGGCCAATCAGAGCAGACTGCGCTTGTCGGAAGGAGGGACTTTGTAGAAAACGAAGCGTTTGAGAGAGGCGGGGCATAGAGGAGAAACAATAATGTACAGTATTTGAAAAATAATGTGTTTTTTGAACATTAAAGCATGTCAACATATTCTGTTACACCAAATACACAAAATAATGTTCTTTTTAGCAGCATCATATGACCCCTTTAAAAAATATGATCAAGAATAAACTAGAGTCTGCACACCAAATCAAATGGTGTCAGCAGACAATAAGAGAAAAAATAATTAGGACTACATATAAGAGACCCCCACCCCATACAGATTCTTATATCTAAATGCCAAATGACAGCATGTGAAACAATTTTGTTTTTTAGTAACTGAATCTGTGACATTGAAAATAGCAATTTAATGACACAGTTTACTTTAAAGGGGTCATATGATGCTGCTAAAAAGAACATTATTTTGTGTATTTGGTGTAATGAAATGTATGTTACAATCTACAGGCATTTTTGTTTGAATTTATTCTATCTGAAAAAATATGGTGTGCTGAAATGACAAAACAACATTTCCTTAAGCAATACATTTGTAATATGTTGTTATACTATAGAGACAATAAATTGGTAAGATTAAAAGCACAGAATGCAGTTATGAATATACAAAAAGGTCTAAGTCATATTTTTGGTTTTCGCTACTTATCATTGATAACATCAGTTCCTGTCTGCTAGGGTAGGTTACACTAAAATAAAAAGAGCTATACAATTGTAAACGTATAACGCGCATGGAAATAATTACAGTTACTACTTTGTATAGACGCATGTTAAAGGGGCGTGTACTTACTGAAATTTCCAATATCCCAAATCGTGTATGCGCATTCACCGGCAGCTCTGAACATCACCATAAGCGTGTTCGCGCAAAGAAGAAACAGCCTAACAGGACAACGGAGACGCGGTGGCTTGGAAAAAGAAAGACCAAAAACCTAAACTGCGAAACGGAGTGCCCTTCTGAATGAAATTCAGATGTTTTTTTCGACGGACACATACAGGTTTTCATTACGACAATGTGCGACGCCTCTCGCTGATGTTCCAGATTTCGTTAAATCTGTTCTCGCTCGTCTGCGGAAGATCCTTGAGATCTTGACAGCATTACAGCCGATGAGAGGTGCACCGGATATACTATTTATACCCAGACACAAAGAGCAGCAATAATGCGTATTGTCGATTTTGCCATAGACACTTGTTTTGCAATGTAATCTCAGTAATCTCACCTGTTTTCTAGACCAGAGGTGGAAAGGAACAGAACGGGATTTTTTTTTTCAAACCGAATTAAATTATCATAATAAACCTCCCATCAATTATTTAATTCATCCATGAACAATTCTGGTGTGACAAAAAGACTCATTCTATCTGGCAAATCAAATCAAGGACGGACACCTCTTTACTCCTTAAAATCGGATCAAATCTTTATTTATCTCCAGTCGGTGGACTCGCGGCAGAAGCGCATTTCTGAGGGTACCGGTGGGGTAGATAGAGACGCCGGAAATAGCTGAAACCAATCACAGGAGAGTAGACGTTTGGGAGCAAGCGAGAAAAAAAATGCTACCTTCGCAAGAAGCCTCAAAGATTTACCATGACACCTATATGCGTAACTCCCGAACCATCGGTGTCCTGTGGGCCATCTTCACCATCTGCTTCGCCATCATCAACGTGGTAGTCTTCATCCAGCCTTACTGGATCGGGGACAGCGTGAGTACACCACATGCCGGTTACTTCGGGTTGTTCCATTACTGCGTGGGCGACGGTAACTCGAACCGGGAACTGATTTGCCAGGGAACATTTTCCGACTTCAGTTCCATCCCGTCCGGCGCGTTTAAGGCGGCCTCTTTCTTCGTGCTGCTGTCCATGGTGCTCATTTTGAGCTGCATCGCCTGTATGGCGCTCTTCTTCTTCTGCAACACCGCCACCGTTTACAAAAGCTGCGCTTGGATGCAGCTGCTTTGCGGTGAGTTTTTTTTTTTTTTTTTAAGGTTTTTGTGGAAAATAGATAAATCTAGAATACGGCATAATTTGCCTTTAGTCTAGATGTATGTCTCTTTCCAACAGAATACACGTTGGTGTAAGAACTGATGCCTGATGCTTGTTTATTTGAATGGAGCTCATTGTGGGTGCGTGTGTTTTCAGGAGGTTCAGTAAAGCTGTTTCTCAGTGATCATGCCTTCATGCTGCCTTGTTAGCGCACAGGAACATGATATTACATTTGTAAAATGCATTTTGGGATTGAATATTGCACAATGCAAGGTAGGCTATTTTTCACTTTTTGGTCCCACTTTATATTAGGTGGCCTTAACTACTATATACTTACATTTAAATTAATAATTTGGTACAATGTACATCTGTAATTAACATCTGTTTTAAAAACAAAACAGGTAAGGGTCAAAATCAGTAAAGCACTTTTGTGTTTTCTGTGCACTTAATGAATCTTTTTTTTATTTTTGCAATATTTAATATTGTACATTTCCATATGACAGTGGTCTGTTTGCAAAAACAATTCATCATGTGCAAAACAGTTCATCATGATGTAGGTGGTTGCCAGGTATTGTTATGTCGTGTTATATGTTATTAAAAAAATAATAATACGAAAGCAAGACAAATGGAAAGAAAGAAAGAAAGAAAGAAAGAACTGTGATGTCTAGATAGAGAAAATCTTGAATGAAAGCAAAAACATCTGGGTGAGCCCATCCTTTTGGCAGGCACATTTATTGGTAGGCACATACATAAATATGTCTATATGCCAAATATCGTTTAGTTACATTATATCTAATACTAGTCAAGTATTAATTAACAAAAAATTTAAATGATTTACTGTGTTACTGATTTTTATCATTTACTATGATATTGATTAAATTGTAATCTTTGGAGTCACGGTTCAGCAGAAGTTTAACAGACATATTGCAAGTCCGAATTTTGATATCTTTAATTCAATTAATGAATTAATGATTATTATTTAGATTTAGCAGAAGTGAAATTTGATACTGAATTTTAGTAAATGGCAGCCTTAATAACAGCATACTACAATTACTAACATTAGCAGTGCTGTATATGAACTTTACAACAATGTTTTTAATGGCTGTATGGATGATTGTGAACACTGAAGTTTTTTTTCTTTTTCTTTTTTGACTGTAGTGTAGGTTAACATTAATGATGCTGACATTTAAACTTTGGGAAATAATGGTTGTGAGTTTCTTTCCATCTTTGTTTTTCTCCTACACATTTTTTCCCCATCTTTTTGGAGACCATAATAGAATGGTCATTTGCATGGTGGATTTGACAGCTAATTTGTTACAACAAATACAACTGTGCAGTATTTGCAGTATTCACAACCATATGCACATTCACACAGTTAAACACTTACAACACCTAAATAATTTTCCTATTCCCCACATTAAGCTATAACCTTTTGTATGGCTTCTATACAATCTGTTATTTGTTTCTCTTCATGGGTCAGAGAGCCTAAAAAGCCATGCCTGCATGTGAGCTGTTGTTTCTTGTGCCTGCAGTGCTGTGAAAACATCTTTGTCCCCAGTTTTTCCAGTTTGTACACATTTATTTGTGTGTGGTGGTGTAGCTTTGATGGTTAAACGGACACAATCGTTTGATGCAGAATTATCCAGGAACTTTCTAGAACCCTAGAGCAACATTCAAAGAGCAGGCCTTTCTTGCCTTGGCAAAGGTCAGTATACATGACCCTACCATCAGAAATACACTTGGCTAAAATGGGATTCATGGTGGAAACCATTACTCACCAAGAAAAACATGAAAGCTTGTCTCATGTTTGCTAATTAGCAACTGGATGATCCTCAAGAATTCTGGAACAATGTGAACAAATTAATGAAAAGTGCCGCTGTTTGTTTGACATTGGCCTGGTTATGTTTGATGAAAACCAAACACTGTATTGCTAGAGAGGAACCTCACACAACAGTCAAAAACTGTAGTGTATAGTTTGGTGATGTTTTGCTACATCAGGAACCACTTTGCCATTACTGAAAGCACAGTTGGGTCATGTTTTGATGCAAAACATAGAAGCAGGGGTACTGCAAAATGGTTAAAAAACAATACATTTAAAGTTTTGGAATGGCATAGACAAAGTCTATATTTCAAACGCATTGAAATGTTGTACCTAAAACGTACAGTTCATGATAGAAAACTTACTGACGCAGTTCTTCAAGGAGGAGTTGCCATACTTCCTGCATAGCAGTATGAAAGTGGTGTGAAACACATAACCATATGTTTAATACATAACCATAGTACTCTGTTGACCCTAAGGTAGGGATCCTCAAATCTGGCCAACGAGATCACGAGTTTAGCTCTAACCCTAATCAAACACACCTGAGCATGCTAATCAATGTCTTCGGGATCATTAGAAAATCACAGGTAGGTGACTTTGATTAGGGCTGGAGCTAAACTCTGCAGCGCATTGGCCCTCCAGGGCAAGATTTGAGGAATCCTGCCCTAGGGGGTCAACTTTTATACTCTCGGCTGCACCAGTTGTGACGTCATAGGCTGCCGCTTGCCAATGTCAAGTTCATTGTCGTGTTTAAAATCATGCTTCAGACACGGGTCATGCCAGAGGCATTCCCCATAGCGCCCTCTGGGGGACACAGCATCTCATTCCCCTTCTCAGGGAACCATGGTTACATGCATAACCTGAGACTGGATCACAAAATTTTCTATAGCTCTTACAATTTTATATTATAGTCTATTTCCAGGTAGGATGAAAGTTCTTTATAAATGCTTAAATAAAAGTGCTATCTAGAATACCCTTACAATAATATATATTTCTTATTTCTTCTTATTCTTCTTCTTTGATTGAAACCTTTGATCATCTCATTTAAGTCTTAAGTGTGATGCCAGCTGTCATGATTGGCTATCATCTTTGCATAGGAAATGAGTAAAAGCACCCCACAATAATGTGTTAGAACATAAATAACTCGTTGGTGAATAATGACAGCTGGTAGAATACAGCTGCATATGTTTACAAGTAATTTAAAGTGGTTGTACAGTTTTGTGGGTGTTAATAGCTATGGCCAGTCATTTTTCAAATCAGCAATGAATGATGCTGGTCAGGATTTCTGTATCAATCAACTTGGTTATTTTGATTCATTTAAAGCTGCAGAATTATCTTCTTTACATGGATTGTGCATCGGCACGGCTCCTCAGTGCGGATGAATCTAATGGGTGAATCTAATGAATCTAATGGCTGTCAGTGTACGCACCAGTGTGGATATTCACTGTACTTCGGAATTGCAGATATTACATCTTGTAAGTATTTTCAAAATAAGAAGTTTCACCAAAAATGTCATCTGAACAAGTAAGTAACATCTCTGCCAGTTTTGTTGTGACCAACTGAAAAAAAAAAAGTTTTACAATAAATCGCGCTACCAATAGTGATTAAATCTAATGATCGCAAATTTAGCTCAGAACACGTCAAACCGTGCAAATTATTATAATCATACTTTGTTCTCAAATTGTTAATGTTAACAACATCAATATTGCGTGACTATGTGTATTTAGTGTGTATTAGCGTTATCTGTAGATTCCTATTTCTGTACAGTCTAATCTCTAATTGTCATAACATTCGAATGTCATCGAAAAAAATCGTTCTTTTAACCTCGAAATGCAATTTAATGTTCCTTAGAACTTATTCTCTTTGAAATACAAATCTTTTGTAAGTACAGTGTAATCCCATGTATCTGTAATCAGATGCACATTTAAAACTAGACTATAATCTAATTTCAGTCACTTACATGTGTTTCATTACCATCATGCACCTTTTAAATTATTCCAGCTGCTGTAAGAAGAGGCTACAAATTATTCACCACCTGCAGCATTCACACATGCGATATAGCCTACTAGCCGGGACTCCTTCTTTATGTATACAGACGTGACATAATGATGCAAAGACGAACAACACAAACCACTCAAATTAGAAAACATTATTACAAGCTTACTGTTGTGAATCGGGCTAAAGTAAGATAATTTTGCAGCTATTTGGGAAGTGCATTCCACTTCATCAGATGGGTGAGGAAGGTTTATATGGATAGGCCCTCAACTCATGAATTGGACCAAGGAAAGCACATCTACTAGGAGTGCTTCATTGATTCAGTGATTTTGTAGGCCAACCCTGAAGTTAGCATTACCCTGGTTTCCATAACAAAAAGCCAATAGGATTTTTCCATTGGCTTTTTGTTTTGCAGAAAATAAGCTCTGTGACCAACAAAAGTTTTGTGATTGTTACACATTTTGTTCATCAATATATTTTTCACAAATTAATACAATTTTTATGATTTTTGAAGCCTAAATACAATCAGAAGTTTGCCACCAATAAGCTTGTGACAAATCTTATAATCTTTTTTTATAATCTACGAGTTGGAAAATTGTAGTTTTCCAGAATAGTTTGAATAGTTGAATAGAATAGTTTGCAAGGGCAAAAGTATAAACACAACTAATAATAATAGTAGTATATGATAATAGTATATGAGTTTTCCTTTTCACCGTGATGAACTTGAATGCCCCCAACAACCTCTGTAGTCCCATTTAGTCACTTGTTTGCATCATTGAAACATTATTTTCCTGTTTAACACTGCAAAGCTGCTTTGATACAATCTGTATTGTAACGCACTATATAAATAAAGGTGACTTGACTTGTTAACAAATTCTGTGACATCCCACTTTAAACAGCAAATTCAGGAGATCTTGATGAATAGCAGGTTTGTTTAGGAGAAACTGTAATTTGTCCTTTGTTAGACCATATTGCAACATATGTGCTTGCACATCATTGCATATGTCCTTCCCTAATACTTGTCTTGTCTCTACAAATTTAGGATAGAGTGATGCACGATAATTAATGGAAGACCATTGATCTTGTACACTTTTAATGGATAAAATTCAACAAGGTCCTCTTATTTAATACAAATGTAGTCTGAATTTTGAGACTATTCTCTG